TATTAACGTTTAAGTCGTGGGTTAAACTATTATAATTCATTAATCTATTAATCGAATTAATCCTTAGCCAAACATTTCAGAGATTTATTTTTTATAGGGTGAACAAAAAAAAATTTCGAGATTGTTGGTCAATTCATTTCAGGAGGGATAATTCCAAAATAACAAACTAAGCTAGTTAATGCGTTTTATATTACTATTCTGTAAATACTTATATGTTTTTGTATCAATAAAGCAATAAAGCTGGTCCTGGTGACTTGATTTCACATACATAATCTCGTTTACTTTGCATGTGTATTTCGTGAATTTATCAAAAAATAATATGCATTACGGGCTAATCCCATTTTTCGCGTGTATTAATAAAAAATTTTCTTGGCAAAAGTGATCTGCGTGAACAATTGTTCACGCGCACATGATTTTTTTTTATTTTGAATATATCCATATTTTATAAAAAATGATAGCAAATACTCACTCCATTGATTCATTAAGAGAATTAAATGCTAGACTCTTAGCTGAGATTGCAGAACTTAGGAAGGAGAATGCTAAGATTAAGGTTGAGAATACTGAGCTTAAGAATAAGAATGCTGAGATCCCTGATCTTAAAAGAAAGTTTACTGAGATTGAGTCCGAGAAAGTTGAGCTTAAGGCCAGGATTGTCGAGCTTCTAAGACAGGCTGTGGAAGAGAGTAAATGGTGTGATGCTGAAAATGCCAAACTCAAGACCAGAATTGAGGAGTTGGAATCTGAGAATGTTGAGTTTAGAGATAGAATCATGAAAGTGGAACAGAGGCAGATGCAAAATGATCAAAAGAGAATTAATTCTTCTAACAACAGTTCATCTAACTTCAATTCGGTTGCAGATCAGGTTAGCAAAGCTAACATGCATCATGGGAAACTATTAGTGGATACTTCATTACCTGAAAAACTAATATCAGAGGGGTTACCAGAGGTAACCGTATCAGCTGTTAATATACCTGTTATGGACCAATGTCATCAGACATCCTTGGAAAACAAGGAAATGGATGTTTTCTTGGATGAGGTGCATAAGAAAAAAGTCAGTAATGATATTAAGCAGAGGAAGCAGGAAAAAAAGCTTAACCAATCACATGTGTTTTTCCAGGACTCATCTTCAACTACTTCTGAATTGTTTTACCATGAAGCAGACCTCTCCATGACCAACACTAAACATGTTCTTCCAGAACAAGTAGTCAAAGAATCGACTCCAAAGGAATCCTCCTTGATTCTTATGAAACCCCAGAAGATAGAAAAGAAACAAGTTAATTTATCAGAGATCAAGGTGGTGAAAATCTCCTATAATCAGAAAGTAGAACAAGATTTAATATGTGAATTACTTGAATTTATTAGATGTCATGGTTCTACATCCTCACCAAATTCTATATCTAGCAAACATATTCCAGATGTTCCAATCGGCACCGATCTAACTCCAGGTTCTGTACCTCATTTAGTTCATTTATTTGACAAGGCTGAAAAAACTAGTTGGAAAGAAAAATTATGATGGTATTACTATAGCGAGGAATATGAAAAAAAGGTTGTAGCCCTTATATCTGAAAATAATATTAGCGATCAAATAGCAAGAACGCAGATTTATAATGAAATAGAGCTGTATCTCCCCAGTAAAAAGAGAGAATATTTACACAAAATAACTCAAAAGGCCAAAAACATCTATATATTGTTTAAAGGAATAGGAATAGATAAAATTAGAGTAGTTACATCTAGCACTGATGCGATCTCTAGGCTAACTGATACGCAAATCCAGAATATAATAAATCTTTATTCTGCAGAATTAATCAAATGTCAAAAAGTGATCGGTGTGAACAATTGTTCACGCTCACGTGATCTACCAGATGTCTTGAATGAGTCTGGATTGAAAAAAATGCTAGACATCGGGATAAACACTCCACTCACATCTCAAACTTCAAAAACTAATCAGACTAATATATTAAAGGCATGAGCCCAATCTAATCCAACTTATAACCAATCCTATTTTCACAACAAAATATTAGATCAATATTCTAATTTATATCGAGAAGGTAGTGATGAAAATGATGATTATTACAGAATGACTGATAAATCATTATGTTCGCTATGCAAGTTAGATCATGAAGATGAAAATAGTATAGAAGGCAGATATGAAATTGGATCTTATAATCTTAAATGTGAACAGCGTGGAATTGAAATTAAGATAACAGCATGAACTTAAACTTATACTAATACAATTCGCTTAAGTCTTTAAGGTGGGTATATTTATTTTTTGTTGGTAATTGTTAATTTAAAGAGATGTGAAATCATATACATAAAACGGGAACATAGATACACAGGCAAAAGCCAGACCCTTTAGGGGTGACTCTACGAGTCATAAAACATTAACTCCCGAATATTTGGAATGGGAAGCTAAATTAACAAAATTACCAGGCATTTTGACGGATAAAATTCGTTCTAGGTTATATAAGAGATATAAGAATAAAACTGGACTCGATCCTTGGTTAAACTATAGATCTTCCCAAATCGAAGAGGACGCAAATGATGATATTCTCATAATATGACGCTCTTTGATCTTTTGAAATTATACCATAGATGTATCTAACGAATACCCACTTGGGCTCGTCAGGATAGTAACCGCAAACTATTAAATCATCACATGCAATATATCTAGACCCACCTTTCTTACTTTTGCATATACATTTTCCTTTATCTCCAAGAAAAAGATTTGCCAAAATATTAGTCTTACCTGATCTGCTCTTTCTGGTAACTAGTATTTTAAATGGCCACGATGGGCAAGCTGGAAGAGATTGAATTTGGAATGATTCATGCTTTGTGGCCTTATCTATATCCATAAGGAATAGTTTCATAGGAGGTATTTTTGTTTTCGAATTCTCCTGCATAATGAATTGGAATTTTGTATCTTTGTTTTCTATCAATGGATGTTATATATTTTAAAAAATTATTTTTTTCAGATGTATTCCATATGATCAAAGATTTTCAATCCACTGATATTTTTTTTCTGTATAATTAAGAATTAATAAATTCATTTAACTCATCTATTTTTTCTTCATTATCCGATCTACGTATCTCATAGCCGATCACTTTTTTATGACTTTTAGGGTCGCCCTTTCGGGCCTGCAGAGCAATGGCTCTTTGAGTCTACCTATATTCTATGTGCGTCTTAATATTACGAACCATATAACCACAATAATTAACAAGGTAAAAAGATATATGCTGATAGTGGTGACATTAAAGTATTCACCACTATAAGAATTGCTTCTACCCTTCTGGCTGTACAAGGTATGGAGTCGTCTTCAGTATTTCTTGGAGTATATTGTTATTAGTTTTCCTAATATCAATTTCATCACTTACCTTGGAAATAATTTCAGTATCTACTCTTGAAGATGAGGTATAGTCTTGAATTACTGATTCCTCAAATATAGAGGTATTCTTTCCATCAGAGTGATCCAGTATAATAGTATCGATTTTTTCAGCTTAATCCATACTTTTTTTATTGCGAAGCAATGGCTCTTCGAGTCTATATACAAAATATTGACTAAGATTTTTGTTAAGTTTACTAACTGCAGATATGTCATCAGACTTAGTTATGGAACTTTGTTCCTCACTCTGTGTATTTTTTTTGTCATCTCCTCTAATTATAGATTCTGATATATCCTCAGATTTCAGATGCTCTAACTCACTAATTTTCAAGGCTAATTCAACTATCTTAGACTTGAGAGACTCAATTTCGGACCCCTTTTTCAATGAATCTTTCTAGGATAATCTTAACTTACTTTTTAATAATTTCATTTCATTCTGAAGTGATTTAATCTCCTCTAATTTTATAGCATACTTAGCCTTGAATTCTGCAAGAGATATATCTTTGCAAGTAATCTGAAACTTGAGAGTATCTAACTCTGAGTTTAATCGTCTATCCACATCTATAGGCTGAAATACATATTTGGAAAGTTTTTTTTTATCTATATTAGCCTGATTTAAGTCACGACGTAATTAACCATTTTCCTGATTGATATTTTTACTAAATTTTGAACATACTACCTGCAGATTTTTATATTCACTACTTAGTTCAGAATTAGTCCTGATACTATTCCATAATGCCTCTTCAAGCTCTAGTTCTCGAATACTACCAAGTCGATAACCCTTCTCCAAAATGGTATCTCACAATGTATGTACATTGACCATAATTTGGATTGACTATATACAAGTATTAAAGATTAGTAATGGTAAAAAATATCATATTTCTCATGCTCGTGTTATAGAGTATATATATTAGATAAATACCGGTATCTTTCGAAAATTGGTTTTCAAAAATATTAGATAAACACCGGTATCTTTTGAATTATTATTCAAAAATGCTAGATAAACACCAGTATTTTTTAAAAATTATTGCCACTCTTTGATTATTTTTGAATTTTTTTTTTGTAATTATAAAAAGGATGAAACGTATAACAGCAGAATATTATCATGCAGGTACACCATATTTATCTCCAGATGCACTTGAGGAAATAATTCATTCTTGAGAGACAATTAAAAATGCTTCCAGAGAAATGGCTAGAAAATATGAAACTTCAACTCGTCGAATTTATGAGATCTGGAAATTGTATGCCCAAGGATTACCTCTGTGCAAGCAACAAATAATACAAAATGTTGGTTCTTCTAAAGCAGTACCCATATCTAAAAATAATACCCTAGATGGGCAGACAAAAAAGAGGAAATCCGAGTCTGTTTGCATGCCTGATTTGCCTTCTGATAGTAAAGATCCGATAGAAAAGATAGGTAGAAAATTAGAATCTATATCTTCTTCATTATCTGATGTCTCGCAAAAGTCTGAAGATGTTCTGC